ATTAAACAGTTACTGTATATAAAAGCAGTACTTTACTATGTACATTACTAGATTGTAAGAAAAAAAAGATAATAAATAAAATAAAATATCTATAATAAATTTCTACTTGTTTTTTGTTTTTAAATGTATATAAAATTAAATTACACATTCACTTTGTGTGCATTACTAGTTATTAAAAGTTACTAGGAAATAAGAAAGTTTCAAATATATTAAAATTCTAGTAACATAGCTAAGCCGATATCGGTAATAGTAGTGCTCTACCTTTATCTTACCATCCGAAAAATTTTCAAGCAATAATGCGAACAATTAATAAGTAAAAAATTTTCACCACAAAAACAAATAATTACGTGCTCTTAATTGCTCACTAATTGCTCATTTAAAATCCATAATTGTTCGCATTATTGCTTGAAAATTTTTTGGATGGTAAGATAAAGGTAGAGCACTACTATTACCGATAACGCCTTAGCTATGTTACTAGAATTTCAATATATCTGAAACTTTCTTATTTCCTAGTAACTTTTAATAACTAGTAGTGCACACAAAGTGAATGTGTAATTTAATTTTATATACATTTATAAACAAACAACAATTAGAAATCTATTAAAGATATTTTGTTTTAATTATTAATTAAAGGAGTTTACTCGTTGAGAACGATTGTCTTTGAACAGGTACAGAAAAAAGACTTACTAGATTAAAAAAAGACCGATATCATATTAAAGCTAGAAAAACCTGTCTTTCTATAAATTTTCTTGAATTAAACATTTATTTCGAGATTGCAGTAAACATTTTTTTTCTATGAAATTCAATGAAATCTTATAATTAAAAAAAAAACGTGTGCATTTAGATTAATTAAACGATTTATTTTTATGTTTCAAGCTCATCAATCTACATTTGCGTCAATTAAAATAGATTTTCCAAAAATAATGTATCCCAACAAATAATATTCGAAAATACGCGACAATAGTAATTTCAGTTTTGCCCGTTATTAGCGCCACCGTCTGTTTCTCACTCGGTAGATAATGTAGTTTTTGTTTTCAACTGATTAGCCAATTTCTGCGCGGGTGTCGCGGCAGTCGGTGTTTTATGACGTAATTCGCGATCTTTCTCAGGCCAACATCGTGAGTTAGAAGCCTGGGGGGATTGCGGTGACCTTGCAGTGTTTGTAAACAGACACACGCTGGTACACGTTGATGTCGGAAGAAACATTAAAAATATTTACGACCAAAGTGATCGACTAAATCAAGATAGATACTTATATTATTGAGGAAGTGGAATATCGGATTAAAACGAATAATCAAAGAGTGAAGAGAAAGAGAGTAGTGAGTCGAGTGAGGAAGGAACAGATAGAAATTCGTTCGAGGAGGAACATGGAAGTGGAGCCGATGTGCATAGTAGAAAACGAGACGGTGAGTTGATCCATAGATAAAGAATAATAATAAAATAAAAATAAAATAAAAATAATAACAGTACGTCATATAATGATGCAATCCTAGTTTAGAAAGAAAACAAAATATATATATATATATATATGTCCTTTGATTAGCGTCATAGATTATTACACCATGTTGTGCAAGGAGGGCGCGCGGGAAAGAAATAGAATGTTTCGGCGGGTTTGTGTCCTTGATCAGGACGAGGGGCGTTGTTTCGATCGCTCGTTTACGTCAAGATCTTTAGAATCAGACCAGAGTGAAGGGTTGTTAGGAAAGGGGTGGGTAGAATGGGAGGCGCCTGTTCCCGCAATGTTTAGTTGCATTGGTATTATAGTTGTATCACGAATCTCTTTGTATGTATTTGTCATACGATGCTCACGTGTGTACGTAGTTTTGCATTCTTCACAAAAGATAGCGTTATCCTTTCATTTGTTTTGCGCTGTTACCAATAGTCAGTATTTACCATTCGATTTGGCTTACTCTTATCGACTGATACATTTTTGTAGTTTTGTATTTTCCGAGCACCTTCTTTTTATCTTTCGATTTAATGTATATCAAGTTTTTGACGACATATGTCTCGTTTGAATATTTTACGTACAATTAAAAAATACAGAAGTACATAAAAATTCACAAGTTCCCTTTTTTGTCGACCTAGTTTTATTTTAGTTACTACCGTTACCACCAGTAGGCGGTAGTATACACTTAACGCCATGACGGTACAATACTATCAAAGAATAAAATCCTAGCTACTGTCGCCCACTGGTGGTCGCGGTAGTAATTAAAATGAATCTGGTTCGATAAGAAAGGGGACTATTAGGTTCTATACACTTCTGTATTCTTACAACGTAGTACTTTCATATCATAAGAGTCGAGTTGACGTTTCGAAGTTGTTTCCGAATTATTTGGTACGATTTGAGAACGTTTTTTTTACTAACAAAAATTTGATTTAAACAATAAGTTTTGTTATTCGATTCGAAAGATTTGTAAAACTTTTATTTTAACTTTGATAGGTGTCGGGCGGTTATTATCTTTTGTTTTTCTTTTTCATCGTTCTTTAGATAAAAGGAGAATACGATGCAACGTTTATTGTTTGGAAAAAATTTCCCCGTTAGTTTCCAAAGATGATACTCACTCGTGCGATCGAATTCTATCTAAACTCACTTAGCAATAAATGCAAGGACGTGGAAACTTAATTCCACGTTGCATTTAAAAGCCGATGAATAAAAAAGATTTACGTAGTTCGCTTATGGCATTAACATGATGATATGTGTGCGTGTTAGTTGTGTGTCGTCGTGTGCTTTAATACGTCATTACAAAGTTTATTCTACTTCGTTGCACGAAGATAAGCGTTATAAATAGCATACAAAGTGTGTCGTGTTTCGTCTCCTTTTCGTTTCTTTTATCTTCCTTCCTTTTTTGTCTGTTTTTTTTTTTTCTTTTGTTTTATTTTCGTTCGAAAACAATTGAGAACTATCTAGAATCATTTATCGAGAATTCGCGTGCAACGTCATTGCGAAAGAATTTTTTTTGTTAAAAAATGTTTAAATGGGGACAAAAAAATAAAACAAATCGAAAAAGCAAAACGTTAAAAAATTCATTTTGTTAGGTTAAGTTTTGGAATTGAAAGTAACGGATTCGTTTTGAGCGAATGTAACGAATGAGCTTCGTTACATCGTGAGCTTTTTAAAAAAATCGTGTAGGTGGCGGTAGCGTCGATTGTTCATATCGGTGGTCACGGGCGCCGGTATCGGCGTTAGACGTCCCTGAAAGGCAAGCAGCCTCTTAACCCGTGAACTGCGCAGTTGTCGGAGCTCGCACGACGCGTAGCACCGGTGAGTTTTCTCTTTTAATATATATATTTTTATATACTCGTAATTTCTAACTTGAGAGCTTAAAACTCATTTTCCTATTTCTCTACGATCGAATTTGGCTATCGACTTATAGACATTTTCCAATAATTTTCCAACATTTTTTTGGTATTTTCGAATGACCACCTCCTCAACTTTTATGCGATATATATATATGTGTGTACGCGTGTATGTATTCGTTCGGATGTAACTATCTACATATGCGCACATACCCGTATGTCGATATCCCCTTAATTTGTTTTTATATTTTTTTATTTTTCTTGATTATTTTTAGTAGTTTTTCTATTTTTTTAATATACTAATTTGTGTTTATTTTGTTTTACATATAAATTTTTTTTAAATTATATCTAAGTTATATATATATAACTATAATATAATGATGGTATTGTTT